CTCCAATAATAATTTCCCAAGAAAAGGTAGTCATAAGAGAAGGGGAAGAAAAAACACTGAGGTAACTTTTTAGATATGTCCCAAATTTGCACAATTTTGACCAGAGCTCAGAAAAAGAATTGTTAAATGTTTAAAAATGTGGTGACTTAATTTAAAAAAATAATTTCCTTTAGAATAATTAAAATAACCTACAATACCTTGCTATTAACTCTGGAAACTCCTTTGTAATTTCCTTTATTACATAAACGATGAACCATTCATCCTCAATATTATCCCCAAACTTTGTCACGCCATACAAATGAGCAGGAACACTTCCTAGAAGTATTAAAAAAGCAACCATATGATCAGATAAATTTGTCACTGCAAATAAAAATATACACAATCATCCAATCAAACAAACATTCACTATGATCCAAGTACTGTTCTGAGAACTGGAGTTGCAATTCTGAACAAGACACAAGATGCCTATTCTTGAGAAGCTCAGTGTCTAAAATAAGAGACAACCAAATCATCTCAAAACAAGATGATCAACCTAGAACAGAGGCATGCACTGAAGGTTATATGAGCGAAACGGGAGTGATACCTTTAAGATGCTGCTTCCTTTATTGTAAGAAAGAATGGTATCTGGAGGAATGACCAGAGATGAATTTCCCAGAAAAAGGAACAGCATGAGCAAAGGCACAGAGGCATAACAGACAACTGCATTCTGGAAATATCAGGAAGTTGGATTTAGGGAAGCTGAAAATTTCATACAAGCATACTATACACAAATATATGGAAATTAAACAACACACTTTTAAACAACCAATGAGTAAAAAATGCAGTCATAAGGGAAATTAGAAAATATCTTGAGACAAATGAAAATGAAAGCACAACATACCCAAACTCACAGGACTCAGTTAAAGTAGTCTAAGAGAAAAATTTCATAGTTGTGAAATATTTCAAATCAGTAATCTAATTTTACACCCTAAGGAACCAGAAAAAGAAGTACAAACTACACCTAAAGTTAATAGAAGAAAGGAAACAATAAAGATAAATGAAATTAAGTATAGAAAAATAATATAAAAGCAACAAAACTGAATAGGTTTTGTTTTTTTTTTTTTAGAAAACATCAACAAAATTCGTTAACCCACACTACTAAATTAACTAAGAATAAAAGAGAAAAGACTAAAATTAAAATCAGAAATGAAACAGGGGACATTACAATCTATGCCACAAAAATAAGAGAATACTATGAACAATCGTACACCAATCAATTGGGAAACCTATGTGAAAAAGATAAATTCTTAAAATACAAAGCTTAATAATCCAGGTCTTGACTGAATTATGAAGAAACAGAAAACTTGAACAGAAATATAATTAGTAAAGAGACTTAATAAGTAATCAAAAACTTTCTAACAAAGAAATATCCAGGACCAGATAGCTTCACTAAAGAATTCTATCAAATATTTAAAGAATTTAAGACCAATTCTCCTCAATGTCTTCCAAAAAGATGAAGGGAAGGGAACAGTCCCAGACTTCTTCTCTGTGGCCAGTATGACCCTAATATCAAAGCCAGAAAAGATAATATGAGACAAGAAATCTACTGACCAATATTCCTAATGAATATGGATGTAGAAATCCTCAATGAAATACTAGTAATCAAATTCAACAGCACATTAAAAGGATTAGAAATCACAACCAAGTGGGATTTATTACTGGTTTGGAAGGACAGTTTAATTAAAAAAAAAAATCAATCACTGTACACATTAACAGAAGGAATGTCAAACAAATGCAAATGGAGAGTGTCTCCAAGGCTGTGATAGCAAAAAACAGGTGAAAAGAATATTCCACTCAACTCTTCTTCTCCCTACTCAGGATCTCTCAAGTTTCTTCAATTATAACAGCTCCAATTAGAGTACATCTTCCTTGTGTATTAGACTTCCATTTAAACCCTTTCCTGAAGCAATGGGGAACTGGTGGAGAATGTTAAGCAGGATTGTGACATGATCAAATTTGTGTTCAACAAAGGTAACTGACAACAGTGTACAAAATTGGTGAGACTGGAACCACAGAGGTAAGTTAGAAGGATACTGTAATTTTCGAGAAGAAGGGATTAAAAAGGGCCTACACTAAAGTCAAAGAGATGTAGAAAAAGGATCATATTTAGAAGTAATCACATCAAGATTTAGTGCCTGAGTAAACATGATGAAGTGAGACGCTGAGTATGATCATGAAATACTAAGTAGCTTAGATGATGAGGAAGATGGCAATGACATTAAATAAGATGAGTAAACATAGGGTAAAGATGATTTTCTAGAAAACAGGTAAGGGGTTGGTTTTAGATGTACTATGCTAATGGGACAGTACTCTTGCAAAAAAAAACACATATATTTCAGATATAGCAGAGAAAATATTTAGCCACTGCTAGCTAAAGATAACAGGTAAGTACCAGATTGTGTGTCAGATTCATGGTATCACAAGATATCAATCTCCCCATGCCAGTGACTCCACATAAGTCACTGTGTGAGTAGAGCCTTGGTCATCTATCCTGAATTCATTTTCATAAAGTTATAAGAAATGATAGGACAGAGTTCTATATTTTGTCACAGGCCAGATCTCAAGCATCAACAACAAAGAAAGCAGTTAAGGAAACTCAAATGCTTCTGAATTGAGCCATCAATAGTGGTGTGTGCCTACAGTCCCAGGTAATTGGGAGGCTGAGGCAGGAGGACTGCTTGAGCTCTGGAATTTGAGACTAGCTTGGACAACACAGCAAGACCCTGTCTTAGAACAAGACAAAACCAAAAAAATCTTATGAGTGGCAAATTATGGTCTAAAGCTTAATAAGCCAGGCAAAGTCAATCTTAGATCCTTACCAAAAAAATCATGTGAAAAAGGGCAGCCTACCAAACATATTATCATGATAAGAATTGAGAAATAGCAAAAGGAACTATGATTAAGGAAACCAGATACCTGCACCTCTTTAGTTAGATATTTTAAGGCATAGTAATTAAAGTTTAAAACAATAGCCATGAACTTAATTTTTTTTTAGTACAAGCTAGTTCCTAGGTATTGACTATTGGAAAGTTTTTATCAATATAAGTTTTTTTTTTTTTTAAGTTTGAGTTTAGGGGCTTGCCTGAATATAGGCAAGCCTTATTAACCTAAAAAGTTGAGGATATAAATCTGACAACACTAAAGGAAGAATGAATTACTTTACCTTTCCCAGGTTTATATTTGAGATTAAAAGGCTGATTCTGCCAGATATAGGGGACTAGGATAGGTGCAAACAGGGTCATTATTCTCTCAATATACTTCTGAAGAATTTCTTTTTGTTTCTCTGGGTCCCTTGATTCATCTGGTATCAGGAACAAGTGGTACTCCACAGTGTCTTCCAGTGTAACAAGCTTCATATTTTCCTCCATTTTTCCTTGAAAAGTACATTTAAAATTTCGATAGTATAAACCACATAAAACAGTGCAGAAAAAACGTCCCACTTCCTAAACTCTTCTAAATGACTGCATTCACATTTGTTTTCTAAAATACTGTTATCCATACACTATTGTCATGGTTTTTGCCTTGACTATATACCATTTATAGTAATTTTTACTTCATATTTTTAAAGACTTTTATGCTTAAAACTATGTTTTATTACACTTAAAAATAGATTAAAAGGAAAACTTGATATTATACAGTGAATGGAAACCCAATATCACATTTCTACACTAATAAAGTTGTAGGAATAAAAATTTAAATGTGGTTGGGTACAATGGGCATGCCTATAGTCCCAGCTACTGGGTAGGCAGAGGCAGAACCATCATGTGAGTCCAAGTTAGGGACCACCCTGGGAAACATAGCAAGACCCCACCTCTTAAAAATAAATAAATGTTGGCCCTTGTACTAGCAGCGGTGTGTGTAACACACTTTGAGACACACTACACTAACATCCACTGTTTAAATACTACCTAAAGTCCCACTTCTGCCTCTAATTAGTTGTGTTACTTTAGGCAGTTCATTTCCCCTTTCTGGAGTTTTCTCCTTAATTGTGGAATGGGAGTGTGACTTTACCATTTCTACAATCTCTCCTGCTTTAAATTTGTGCCCTTTATATGCGCTAAAGAACAATCTCCCTTACTCTACAGAATTAAAAACTTTCCTTTTTACGAACATTGTATGGCATAGTAGAATACAAAACTACAAAAGATATCCGCTCATTTCACCCAGAAATAATTTACCCACGATTCTTGATCTCACAACTCTGTCCTAAATCTGTCCCCTTTTCAAGTCTCGGGGGTCAATACCTCTGTTACACCAAGAGGTAGTAGATACTTTTCTAAGAGTTTTCCTTACAAATATAAGGACTAGTTTACTATTGCTGTCAGGTGATGTTCAGTAAACGAAGGCACTGCACGGGAGGGACCATCCTAACACAGCGATTCGATTCTTCAGCTTACTCGGCTTTCTAATGAATTCCTGAGGAACTGCTTCTTCTATCCGCACACCCACTCACTGCGATCAGCTCACATCATCATTTTGCTTTCAATCTAGAGGGACAACCAATTCTACCCACCCACCCCTTAACGCCAAGCACCCACCTTTATACAGAATTTACAGTGTCAGGATTGGCCTTGAGATCACTCAGGTTAAGACCTCACAGAACAAACGAGAAAACCCGGAGCCCTGAATGAGACGCGACCAAGCAGCAGGGACCTGAAGGTGTCTAGCGTTGTTTACTCAAACTAGGTTTCTCATTTCCATTAACTTTCCTCGTACGATTCTAGGCCCTCTCCTGTGCGCTTCTGCTGTGGGACCTTTCCTCGGCCTCCTCTTCCACTTGAGAGCTCCGAGAGCGAGGCCCAGGATCTGTCTCCACCGACCCGAGACTAGCGGAAATCTTAAGAGAAAGCCTGAAACCCATCAGTTCCCGGAACCTTGGGTGTTGTTCTTGCTGCGCTTCGGCCGAGGCTTTTGGCAGGTGCCCGCGTATTCGTCACTTCCGCCCCCGCTAGGAAGCTGGGAGGACGGAGGACCGGAGAGGCGGGAACCCTGGGACTGTAGTGATCCGGAGTCTAGGCGACGGGGCGAGACGGGGCCGGTAGGTGGTGGGAGGGGGCCCACCAGGCCCGGAGGCCCCCACCCTTACGTACCTGCCCCGGTCGCGGCTGAGGAGGAGGCAGAGGAGGAGGATGATCTCCAGATACACTCGGAAGGCCGTGCCGCAGAACTTGGAGCTGTGAGTGGACTGCTAATCCATCCCAGCCCGCGAGGCTGAGGCGGGTCGTGGGCTCCCTGGGGACCCTCCATAACTAGTCTTTCTCGCCTTTCTTTTCCTGGGGTTGGGGAAAATAAATATTGCCTGGAATTTCTCTCTTCCCAGCCTTGGTGGACACTTGTCCCTCTGCCTGCAACTGAGGGCGTGTCTCGCGACCTGTAGCCTAAGACTTGATCTCTTGAGCAGTACTAACTGATTATAGGAACTGGGTCTCCTAAGGCGTTTGTAGTTTCTACAGTGCTTCAGGCCCCACTACCAATGGTAATTGACAACTGGAGAAGTTATTAATAATCGAATGTTTCAATAAAGTTGAACACCTCAAGTGCCAGATACTAATGGCAAATCTGTTTACATGCATTATCTGAATCTTTCCAACATGGATATCTGATTGAGTATTTTATTTTGGACATTCTACAGATAAAGGTCCCACATTTCAAGTAACATGCTAAAGGTTACACACAGGGGAGGTAGTGGAGCTCAGAGGTACAAACCCTGTGCAATCTGACTCTGAACCCGGTGGTCATAATCATTATATATACTGCTTCCCCACCTCTTAAGCATCAGAACTTAAAAGAATCAATTTTTCTTTTTAGACTAAAAAGCAAGTATTTCTAACCTAAAGACCCACTTCTTGTCCTTACATAATGTTGTAATTTAGCAAGTAATGCTAATTTCTTCCCATTACTAAGTCAAAGTCCTTTGCTTTTTGATCCTTATAACAACTCTGTAGGAAGGGTTTGATTATCTTCAGTTTTTCAGGTGATGAAATTATATGAAAAAGTTTACTCATTTTAAGGTTACATAGCCAATAGAATCAGGATTTAGGCTTGGGCTTTAAAAAATTTTCCCCTTTCATTGAACTCTGTTATTTTAGCAGCCATACATCATTTACTAAATATTAATTACACATGGCAAAAACAAGCATATTTTAAGTATGCTGAGTTTCTAGCTGGACTCTTTTCTACCTATGTAATTTTTTGGCAAATTACAAAATCTCTCTGCCTTCATTATCTAAAAGCATGTCTACAATGATGGCATAGGGCCTCTTATGAAATAAATGTGTCCTCAGTAAATGGCAATTTCCTTTTACATATCCACCTTTACTTGGTACAATAGACATACAAAGAAAATAAGTCTAAAATCTCTCTTTGCGTTTCAAAAGCTTATTATCTGTTAAAGAAGAGGATATCTGCCCAGTAGCCATTCAGATAATAAGGAACTGGAATGAAGAACAGTCGTTTCACAGTAAAGTGAACAGCATTTAGCTTAAAATCTACTTTTATAGTTAATTCCAACATACTGAAAAGTTAAAACAAATCTTGTGTGGGAAAAAAACATGAATAAACAGTTAAGTATTGAATGGATTGAAGTTATTGACCCAGTGTAGTTACATTACTTGTTCTTGGTTGGTAATTTGATAATCCCAAAAGATGATTCTCCATCTGGAATCACAGTGAAGTGAGTAATGAAGATAAAATGTGCATAAAAGACAGTGCAATAAAAGGGCTTTTTAATCAAGATGCTATATACTGTCCTTTGAAGCAGGAACTTTAACTTTCTTCCTAACAATTATAAATTATAGATGTTGAAAAGAGTTTGGGGAAAAGAGATTTTCAACACACAGCAAAACTTTTTTTTTTTTTAATATTTTATTTCTTAGTTTTCAGTAGACACAACATCTTTGTATGTGGTGCTGAGGATCGAACCCTGGCCGCACGCATGCCAGACGGGCGCGCTACCGCTTGAGCCACATCCCCAGCCCAAGCATAACTTTTTTAAATGAAAAATTTCAAACATAAATATATTGAGAATTATATAGAGCCACCCATTACTCCATACTCAACGGTTGTCAACCTATTAATGTATTTGCTTCATCTATCTTTATCTCTTTGTAGCTTCTCTCTGAAAGAAGGAAAACAAAACCCCCAGGATACTGGTTTATGTTGTCATTTTGTCTGTATTCATATCCTGTACATCTCTAAAAGCTAAGGACATTTTCTTATGAAATCAAAATGCTATTGTTACATTTAATAATATCTCTTTGTTATTTTTTGTCACTTCCTTGACTAAAAAAAAATGTTTAAGTCTCTATTTCATAGCTAGAATCCATATTTCAGATTCCTCCCATTTTATCAAAGATAGGCTTTTAGTTTTAGGTTCACTGAATGAGAGCAGTACACATGGCTCTGCAGAAATTCATTTCTACCATTAGAGAAAATTTAAAGGGAAAGCTTTGTTGACCTGATCCTTTGCTTTATGTTTATATATAAAAATGATACAATTTACTAAAGTCTCAAACTTTATTTCCATTTAGAGGCCTTGGAACCAGACTACTTAGATTTGAATCCTGACTCTACTTACTAATCATATGACCATAAGCAGGTTACTTAATCCCTCTGGGCTTCAGTTTCCTTCCCTGGGTAATGTACTAAATTTATAATATAAATTTCTGTATTAAAGGACATGGGAAACCTATTATAAAGAAACTTGGGTAGCTTTGTTTAACTAGCCAGTCTCCTCAATTTATTTGACTGCAGAATTTTATGAGGAAGGAAAGTACTGTAGATGATTAAGATTGGAACATATAATAATTGACCCATAGTTTATTCCAGTGCACATGTCCAATAGAAAATAGAAATTCCAGATAAGCAATGTCCAATAGAAAATATTATATAAGCTGCATATGACATTTTAAATTTTCAGGTGGTTACAACAAAAAATAAAAAAGTGACATCATCATAGATTCAGAGAAAGTTGCAAAATTAGTATATAGAGCCCCATGAACCCTTCATTCAGTTTCCCTCCGTTGATGACATCTTAGGTAGCTTTAGTATAATTTCAAAGCCAGACATTGACATTGGTACAGTAAAGTTAACTAAACTACAGGCCTTATTCAGTTTTCACCCATTTTTACATCCTGTCGTCTCTGTGTGTATATATGTATGCATGCATATATACACATAGTTCTATGCAGATGGTCTAATTTATAGATTGTTTAACTACCACTACAATCAAGTAGACATCTTGCCACCACCAAGGAACTTCTTTGTGTACTCTTATTAGTCACATCCCCTCCAGCAGCTACTGCTATGTTCTCTCTCTATAGTTTTGTTATTTGTGAATGTTATATAAATAGAATCATAGAGTGTATATATAATTGTGATTGGCTTTGGCTTTATTCACTTAAGCATGATACATTTGAGATCCATTCAGGTTGCTGCATGTATCAATAGTTCATTTCTTTTGATTGCTGAATTATTCTATTGTGTGACTATACCAAAGTTTAATCATTTACACATTGGACATTTGAGTTGATTACAGTTCTTTTTCAACTATAACAAAAACTGCTATGAACATTTTGTGTATGTTTTTGCGTGTGAATATAAGTTTTAATTTCTCTGGTCTCAAATACACAAGAGTTTAACTGCTAGGTCTTTTGGTAAATGTATGTATTTTTTTTTTGTAAGAAACTATTGAACTATTCTAGCATGGCTATACCATTTGACATTCTTGCCAGTAAATTATTATATGATATCCCGTTTATTCCACATTCTTACCTGCATTTAGTGTTATCAGTATTTTTTATTTTAGCTGTTCTGATAGGTATGTAGTTATATCTTACTGTATTCTCAATTTTTTAAATTAATTAATTCATTTTAATTAAGTACATATGACAGCAGAATGCATTTTGATTCACAATGTAGTGTCACACCGTATGTGTAGTCATACATGTACCTTGGGTAATGATGTCTATCTCATTCAACCATCTTTCCTGCCCCTATGGGTCCTCCCCACCCTCCCTCTCCTTTGCCCAATCAACGTTTCAACATTTTTCCCATGGCTCCCTGCTCCCTGTTATGGATGAGATCCACTTATCAGAGAGAACACTTGGCCTTTGGTTTTTTGAGATTAGCTTACTTGCTTAGCATGATATTTTCCAACTCCTTCCATTTACCTGCAAATGCCATAATTTTATTCTCTTTTAATGCTGAGTAATATTTCATTGTATATATACCATAGTTTCTTTATCCATTCATCTATTGAAGAACATAGGTTGCTTCCACAGTTTAGCTATTGTGAATTGAGCTGCTATGAACATTGATGTGACTGCGTTACTATACTATGATGATTTTAAGTCCTTTGGGTACAGACTGAGGAGTGTGGATAGCTGGATCAAATGGTGATACCCTTCCAATTTTTTAAAGGAATTTCCAAACTGCTTTCCAGATTGGTTGCACCAGTTTGCTCCCATCAACATTGTGGGAGCAAATTTTTGCCACACACACGTCAGATAGAGCACTAATCTCCAGGATATATAAGGAACTCAAAAACCTTAACACCAAAAAAAACAAACAGCCCAATCAATAAATGGGCTAAGGAGATGAACAGTCACTTCTCCGAAGAAGATATTAATTTAATCAATAAATATGTGAAAAAGTGTTCAATATCTCTAGCAATTATAGAAATGAAAATCAAAACTACTCTTAAGATTTCATCTCACACCAGTCAGAATGTTATTTCAAGGATACAGACAACAATAAATGTCGGTGAGGATATGGGGGGAAAGGCACACTCATACGTTGCTGGTGGGACTGTATTTTCAATTTTTTTTTTAAGAGAGAGTGAGAGAGGAGAGAGAGAGAGAGAGAATTTTTTAATATTTATTTTTTAGTTCTCGGCGGACACAACATCTTTGTTGGTATGTGGTGCTGAGGATCGAACCCGGGCCGCACGCATGCCAGACGAGCACGCTACCGCCTGAGCCACATTCCCAGCCCTGTATTTTCAATTTTTAATGAAATTTCAAGAATATATTTTGTTTACCTAATATATCCAAAATATTTTAATATATAATCAAGATAATAAAATTAATAAGATTGCATATTATTTATGTACTAAGACTTTGGAATCCAATGTGTTATACACTTAAAAAACAATCCGGGGTTCTCATACTTGAGGTAGCTCAAATTTTCCCTTGAATGTATGTCTACTTCCTAAATAAACCTCTGTCTGTGCATTTGTCAAACAAACAAACCCAAAAACCCACAATCAGTTCCAATGAGCCTCATTTGTAACTGCTGCTTGCTAGCAGTATCCACTGCATTGGACAGTTCCAGAGTTGCAGGAAGTTGGTAACTAATTTTTAGATCCAGTTACTGAAATATATTTATCTTCTCCTTATAGGAAAAATAACTTTATTTTATCTTTAACAGGAAAGGAGTAACAAAACATGCTCTTAATCATCATCCCCTTCCAGAGCAACTGGATGAAATTTCCTCTACTAATGATGGCCGTGAAAAAGAAACAAGTTCCCAAAGGTAATAACACAGAGTGCACTTGTTTGTTTATTGGACTTGCTAATGGCAAAGGTTTTGTTTTTTGGTATCAAGACTTTGTTAACGAATCAAGAAGTTTTATCATCTTAAAGAGTCTGAGGCAGTAGGACTGCTTGAGTCTATTAGTTTGAAGTCAGCCTGGGCAACATAGTAAGAGCTCATTTAAAAAACAAATGGCCAGGGGATGATGGCACACGCCTGTAATCCCATTGGTTCGGGAGGCTGAGGCAGGAGGATTGTGAATTCAAAGCTAGCCTCAGTAAAAGCATAGTGCTAAGCAACTCAGTGAGACCCTGGTTAAATAAAATACAGAATAGGGCTGGGGATGTGGCTCAGTGGCCTAGTGCCCTAGAGTTCAATCCCCAGTAATCCGCTGCCCCGCCAAAATCATCAGCCTTCATTGTAGAATAGCTAATGGCAACAACATCATACTTGTTTTTATAACCTTTAGAAGTAGTATTATGATGTAGTTAAGAATATGAACTTAGGAACAACATCATACTTGTTTTTATAACCTTTAGAAGTAGTATTATGATGTAGTTAAGAATATGAACTTAGGGGCTGGGGTTGTGGCTGAGTGGTAGAGCGCTCATCTAGCATGTGCAAGGCCCTGGGTTAGATCCTCAGCATCACATAAAAATAAATAAATAAAATAAAAGTATATAAAAAAAAGAATATGAACTTAATCCTAGTCCTGCCACTTATTAGCTGAGTAATATTGGGCAAGTTACCTACTTGATAATGTACCTCTTATAGGATATTGTGAATGTAAATGAGATAAAGTATGTAAAACCTAACACTGTTTTATAGCAAATGCTCAGTAGATATTAGCTGCTGTTGTTATTTAAAGAAATAGAAGAGAAGAGACTATGACTTCAAAGAGTATTCTGAGAAGTAATGTATTATCAAGATTAAAATCTGGAACTAAATGTCAGATTACTTCTTTTTTTAAATGGAGTTACTGGAACTCTGCATCACCAGGTAGTACCAAAGATAAAATGAGATTAACATCTGTAAAAGTACTTGATACAGTTCAGATTTTACTATTAACATTTCTGAAATATCTTTAGTTATAAAGAATATATGTTATAGGTAGAATATTAAAGTATTCATTGTAAGCTATGACTAGAATTATTTGGAAGGAATGCTGTTGGTTTTATAGAAATTAGATAGGAGTTTTCCATGATGCTTTAATTTCAGATTCTTCATTTATTTTCACCTCATTGGATGTATTTGTACACATGCTTGTCACCTAAGTTACTGGGTAGTCAATGCTGCAGAAATTTGAGGAAATGTGAGAATCTTACTTTTTTCTGTCTCCCTCTCAAATTGTGCATTTAGTGAGTCTGACTTCACTCAAGAATCACCTTTAACATCAGGCAACACTGAGAATTCAGGATCTGCTTTTCCAAGTTATASTGGCACAGGGATCTCTACAGAAGGCAGCTCAGACTTCTCCTGGGGATATGGTGTGAGTTGTATGTTATCAGTCTAATGGAGTTCTTAGGAGACTATCCTAGGAGTTAGGATTTGTTGGTATATTTCATTCCTTCACTCTCCTGTATTGATTCTTTACAAGTGTGGTAATTCCTAAATTTACCACACTTTATAATAGTTGTAAAGAAGTATTAATCCTTACTTTCTTTCAATACTTGATGGGTAGTGTTTGACATGTATATATTACAAAAGAGGACTAAATGTATTTACCCCTAGTGTTATTCAGTCATTATTAATTAGGTGATTAAATGAATGACTTTTGCTTAAATTGTATCAATTTCCCATTATAAAAAATTATTTTTAAAAGACTAATAACCTTCAAAGAAAAATTTATAAAAGACAAATTTTATGCATAATTTTACCATCTTGATTCAGTAGGTATTTTGATTTTTATGTCTTCTTTCAATTTGTAATTTGGTTATAATCATGATGTACATAATAGTATCATGCTCTACTTTTCATTTAATATTACTTTGTAAGCACTTTTCCACAATGCTTATTTTAAGTATTTTTTTTTAGTTGTTGATGGACTTTATTTTATTCATTTATTTAATAATGTGGTACTGAGAATCGAACCCAGTGCCTCACACACATGAAGCAAGTGCTCTACCACTGAGCCATAACCCCAGCCCCAATGTTTATTTTACACACTATTATTGTTAGCAACCTGCTTTCTTTACAGAAAGCCTAATTTTTAAAACCTATTATTATTACCATGAATTATTTTCCAATCTTTTTTTTAATTTTTTTTTTTTAGTTGTTGATGGACCTTTATTTATTTATATATGGTGCTGAGAATCCAACCCAGTGCCTCACACATGCCAGGCAAGTGCTACACCACTGAACTACAACCCTAGCCCCTCCAATCATTTTATATATATGTAATATATATAATATATATTTTTATATATATTATATATATATACTTTCTTCATATATTTCTATGATATATGTACATATACTCTGTGTGTGCATGTGTGTGTGTACATACAACATGTATGTATCCTATTTTGTGGTCTACTTTTTTCATGTACCATTACTTTGTATAGATGTTTCATCCTTCATGCCTATCTATTTGAATAGTTATATTTCTTGGTGTTAATATATTACAATTGAAGTTTTCCCTTATTTTCTGATATTTGGGTTTTCATTTTTTTGTTCATTTATTTAAAAACATTTATTGAACACATTTGTTTTCACTGAACCTTATTGAGCACATTTGTTTTTACTATACCCATTGGCTTGGGGGATATGGGGCCAAGTGAGGCTTCTAATACTTAATAGTCTTATGAGGGAGATTGACAAAAGGAAATAAGATATAAAAAGTGGTAAGAGCTCTAAGGAAGATGACAGGTGCTGAAATAGTATAGGGGAATTCACTTTATATAGAAATATAGGGTAGGTTAGATCTGAGTGAGACTTAAATATTGAAGAGTTAGCCATGAAAAGAGTGAGAAAAAGAACTTTCTACCCCAAGGAGAAGTTCATATTTCCAAGGCAAAATGTATGGCATGTTCTTGAAACTGAAGAAAACAATCAGAGTGGCTGGAAGATGGTGAACCAGGGGGAGAAAAGCACAAAAATGAGATGAGAGAGGTAAGCAGAAGTACATTGTGTAGGGCCTCATAGACCATGGAAAGAATTTAAATTTTATTCTGAAGGAATGAAGTTGATGCCTTATATGGAGGATTTAGTGCACTGACTATATGTATTTCCATCATTTCTTTCTATATTATGATAGTTGTCTCTTTTTAAGTTATAAAAATGTCATACAGATATGTCYATTCCCTTGCTTTTTTATATTATTTTATTATGTAACATTTTATTTTAATTATTATGTAACATGTTTTTAAAAATTCAAATATAATCATTTCACTTTCTACCTTCATTTCTTCACTAGTCAGGAAAAATGGAATAATATAAGATTTTTCATAGGTTTTTAACAATTTTTCATGTTTACCTTTTTAATTCACTGATTTTTTTTTTTAAGATCAAGGGTGGGTGCATTTATCTCTAAAGAGCTACATAGTAAATACTTTAGGCTTTGTAGACTCTATCTGGACCTTCATCTCTCACTGTATTCACAAAGCAGCTATAAACTATAAGCAGCTATAAGCTATAAAGCAGTGTGTAAATAAAGAGACTGAATGTGTTCCAATAAAACTTCATTTGTAAATAGGTGATGGGCTGGATTTATCCTATTGACCACAGTTTGCTGAACTTATTCCAAATACTACTTATAACAGAACCTTAGATTTTGCTATTATATCTACTCTCCCTATAGAGCTATAGAATTTTGAACATTGGACCAAGTTGAAAATTATATTTCCCAGTCTCTGTTACATAGTAGTGAGGAGGTAGGGCTTTATGGAGTGCAATTTTTTTTTTTCCAGTTATCTCTTGCTCCTAATTCCTGTCTGAATCATGGAACTATGGCTAAAAATACAGCAGCCATCTCAGACCATGAAGTATTAATTGAAGATGGAAATGGTAGGAGAAACTGGGTCCTTGATACCCCTGGAGCCACCATATCAACTTTTTAATTCCTACCTCTAAACTTAATTTTTTATGAGAGAAAATTATCTTATTTAAGCCACTGTTATTCTCAGTAGTATCCAAATGCAATTCATGACTGACATACTCATCCTTTTAAAAAACACATTACAAATACCTTTTTCTAGTATGGGATTTTTATAATTTTCATAATTTTTACATTTAGTTCTTTAATCCACCCACAATTGTCTTTTGTTATGGTATGTAGCAGAGACATAATCCTACTTTTTTCCACATGCATAATGAATTGTTTCAGCACCATTTATTTACTAGGTCAGGATTTCTAAGCAGGGACATTTTAGGTATGGTTAATGTGTAGAAATGTCCCATATACAACAGACTGCTTAGTATATATGATTCCTTCCTATCAAAATATTGGTAGTACTCCATCAATGGGTTCTCTAAAATTATACAAATAAATTTTTTACCTTCTCCTATACATAAGTGATGATATTCCAGTGGAGCTGTTTATTCTTTTCCCTCTGTCTGCCATGCTTACCTCTGTTATAAATCAAATTTTAAAATATGAGTTATTTCCAGACTCTCTAAATTGTCCTATCCTAAGCTCATTTATTGGTTTTAACTATATAACAATTATAACTATATAACAATTATATGTAACTATAGCTGTATAATAATCCACATTGTCTGGTAGTATTACTGAATTGTTCAGTAATACCACATTGCACATAATTGTCTTGACCAATATTTTAATATAAAAAATAGAAAGTTTTTAAAATTGCATAGGTCAATTTGAGAAAAACTGCCATCTTTATTATATTGAGTTTTAAACATGTCCTTGGTATATTAATCTTTCAACTTAATAAAAAAAACTATTTAGATCTTGTTTAATATATTTTAGTAATAAGGTTTTCATTATTGTATCAATAAAGGGGTACTGTACATTTGTTAGGGATTAGTTTCTAGGGACTTTGGATGGTATAATGTTTTAAAATTATAACTTAAGACTTGTTTGTATTTCTTGTTGTTTGTATTTTTTATCTACTGTATAACATTCAATTTTTATTAACTTTATTTTACTTATTCATACCCTATAAAATTTACCCTTTTAAAGTATATGAGTATTTTTTAGTATATTCACAGAATTGTTCAACCATCATTACTATCTAATTTTACTATGTTTTTATCACTTCAGAAAGAAGTCCTGTACCCCTTAGCTGTCACTCCCCCGGCCCATGCAACCACTAATCTGCTGTCTGTCTCTGTGGAATGGCCTATTCTGGCATTTTCATATAAATAAATTATATTATAGCTTTTTATATCTGGCATCTTTCAATTAGCACAATAGTTTCAAGGTTCATTCATATTATAAATTAATCAGTACTTTATTCTTTTTCTTGTTAATAAATTTTATTGCAGGGCTGAGGCTGTAGCTAAGTGACAGAGCACTTGCCTAGCACGTGAGGCACTGGGTTCCATCCTTAATACCACATAAAAATACAAATAAAATAAGGCATGTTGTCCATCTACAACTACCAAAAAAAGAAAATTGCTGGGGATCGGATGTACTTCAGTGATACAGTACCTAAAAATTTATTTTAAAAAATTATATTGCGTAGATTACTAAATCTTATCTGTTTTTCAGCTAATGGGTTTCTACTTTCTGACTTTTATTAATAATGCTAGTATGAACACTTGTGTACAGGTATTTTTGGTGTGCCTATATTTTGAATAATCTTAGGTATATAACAAGGAGAATTGCTAGGTCATATGAAAATTCTGTGTTTAACTCTTTGAAGAATAGATTTATTTTGACATTTATTATAATAATTATGATTTTCAAGATTTCTAGTTAGTAAATAAATAATATTGATGTTTTCCTTATATTATTGCAAAGACTTCACTGCAGATATAATCATATGAATGTCAGAGTAGAAAATTCCTTTGAAATGCATTATTTTGTACGTAACAAAATTCAAGGTTTTTTTTTAATATATATATTTATTTTTTAGTTTTAGGCAGACACATTATCTTTATTTTATTTTTATGTGGTGCTGAGAATCGAACCCAGTGCCTCACACATGCTATGCAAACACGCTACCACTTGAGCCACAATACCAGCCCCCCAAATTCAGGTTTTGAATTAATGTTGCAATTCTTTTTTATTTTAAATTTTTTTTAGTTGTAATTGGACCCAATACCTTTATTCGTTTTTGTTTTGTTTTTTAACATGGTGCTGAGGATTGAATCCAGGCCCTCACACATGCTAGGCAAGTGCTCTACCACTGAGCCACAACCCCAGCCCTCAAGTTGAACTATTTTTCCACAATTTGAATGACATTATACCCCCCCACCAGATATTTTAACGTGTATTTCTTATGAATAAGGAAATAATGTGTACAAATAAGGACATTCTTCTATCAGAATGCAACTACTAAAATCAGGAAAGTTATGATATAT